GGTGAGTTATAGAACAGCATATCCAACATTTTCTTCATGTCTACCCCAGATGAAGATGCATATAGCATTCCCTCCCACAGACACACTCTGCTACATATAGGAAAAATCAGGTGTGATACTCAAATCTTACTTGTGTTTAGTGATAAAGCTAACAAAGAGATCTAGAAAACTGGGGTTTGAAATCTATACTCGAAGTCCCTATATCTAGTTGATATTTCTTTACCTATGAAGTTAATCAGATAACTTTAACTGGGTAAGGCCATCATTTTTTACAAGGGTTAAAAAAAAAGCAAGGAAAGCAAAACTACTTAGTCAAGGGCATACATTTTACTTGACTTGTTCATTAAGAAAACCATGATGATATTTTCTTAGAGGCATACTGACATGTAGGCAGAACCCTCCCATCTGCCTATAATCCTCTTTACTTGCCTCATGTCTTTTAGATAAAAATTTTTGAAATATTCCTAATATTCCATGTATTCTAATTCTCATTTCATTTTGCAGTAATTGGTCCCTGACAGCTCCCAGTAGCTTGTCTTTCTTCATTTATTTTAGATTTTCTATTTCTTTTTATTTTAGAGATTATAATAAAATTACATCAATTTCCACTTGCTGTTCCAATCCCAAACCTTTCCACATATCCAACTTTGCCCTACTTTAAATGAAGGGTTTCTTTTAAATAGCAATTGCAGTCATATACATATTTATGTGCACATACATACATACAGATATACATATATATGTGTGTGTGTGTGTGTGTGTGTGTGCGTGTGTGTGTGTGTCTTTTGTATCTGTTTCAAGGACTGATTATTTTTTACTGGATAGATAATTGTTTTGATCAATTCCACCCCTTCTTTCCAACTCCTCTTGAGTATCTCCCTGTCCTGCACAAATTCATGTGTTTTTAAACCATCTGAGTCCACTTAGTTCTTTCTGTATGGACATGGATTCAGGACTACCAACTGGTATGAAAAGCTTATCTGGAAATGCATTCCTGAAGAAAAATGGCTCTCACTCCATTTGCAGCCATCAATTGCCAACCACCTCTCACCTAATGGTGGCAACTCATGAGCACTTTCTCCTTCCATGCTAGGCAGATCTGACGTTATGTAAGTCTTGAGCATGTAGTCAGAGTCACTTTGAGGTATACTCCTTCTGGACATTACAATTTTTAAATCATCCTATTCTACAATGGAACTTTGTTCCCACTGCCCTCATGCTTGCTGAAGTTTGGTCTGATTTAAACTGTGCAGGTCTTAGATGTGCTGTCAGGCTCCATGGGTTCACATGTGGATCTATCTAAAAAATGGTGTGTTGGAGGAGGTGCGTGCTTGTTGGTTCCTGGCCGCTTAACCCCAAAATAATCACACAGAAACTTCATTAATCAAATCACTGCTTGGCTCATTAATTCTAGCTTCTTTTTTTTGTTTTTTTTTGTTGTTGTTGTTTTTTTTTCGTTAGACTTGTTTATTCAAGTATCCGAAAACACTCTTTCCACTTCTTCCCCTCCTCCCAATACCCTCCCTCACCATTGCCCTGTGGGAAATCCAAGTTCCTCCCCTCTCCCTCCAGGTCCAGGAAGGTGAGCATCCAAACAGGCCAGGATCCCAAAAAGCCAGTCCATGCAGACGGAACAAGACCCAGTGCCATTGTCAATGGCTTCTCAGTCTTCATTTGGACCTTGGGGGCTCAGTCAGCCCCCATGTCAGCCACATTCAGAGAATGCGGTTTGATCACATGCTCGTTCAGTCCCAGTCCAGCTGGCCTTGGTGAGCTCTCATTCGATCAGTCCCCTTGTATCAGTGGGTGAATGCACCCTTCGCGGTCCTGACTTCCAGTGCTCCAATGTGGGTCTCCGTCTCTATCTCCATCCATCATCGGATGAATAGAAGAGTGGTTAAAAAAGGTGTGGAACATATACACATTAGAGTTTTACTCAGCGGTAAAAAACAATGACATCTTGAATTTTGCATGCAAATGGATGGACATAGAAAACGCTTTACTGAGTGAGGTAACCCAGACCCAAAAAGAGGAATATGGTATGTACTCACTCATAAGTGGATTCTAGCGCCATAGTTAAAGGTCTTTGAGTCTATAATTTGTGATCCTAGAGAAGCTAAATAAGAAGATGAACCTGAAGAAAATCATATAGTTATCTTCCTGGATATTAGAAGTAGGCAAGATTGCCAGGCAAACTTGGGTGCACAGGGGGTGGGGGGTGCAAGTAAGGGGAGATGGTTAGGGAGAGGGGAAAGGGGGAGGATTGGGGATGGCTTGGGGGAATGGGAGAGGGGGAGGGAGGAAGGATGGTTATGGGAGCAGGGAAGTTTATATCTCAACTAAGGGAGCCATTTTAGGGTTTGCAAGAGACTTGATTCTGGAGGGGTTCCCAGGCCCAAGGAGAGGTCCCCAGATTGTACTCTGGGCAGCAGAGGAGAGGGTGCCTGAACTGGCCTTGGCCCATAACCATACTGACGAATATTTTGCATGTCACCAAAGAACCTTCATATGGCGATGGATGGAGATAGAGACAGAGACACATATTGGAACACTGGACTTAACTCCATAGGTCCAAATGAGAAACAGAGGGAGGGAGATCGTGAGTAATTCTAGTTTCTTATTGGCTAACTCCTATATATTAGTTTAACCCATCTCCATTAATCTGTGCATAACCACAAGGTCGTGGCCTACCAGCGAAGTTTTAGCACTTCTGTCTCCAACAGTGGCTCCATGGCTTCTCTCTGACTCCACACTTCTATCTCCCAGCATTCAGTTTAGCTTTCCCAGCCTACCTAAGTTCTGCCTTGCTATAGGTCCACAGCAGTTTCTTTATTCATATTAATCACAGCATACAGAGGGAAATCCCATGTCACTATTCTACAGTGGAACTTTGTTCCCACTGCACTCATCCTTGCTGAAGTTTAGTCTGGCTTAAACTGTGCAGGTCTTAGATGTGCTGTCACAGTCTCCACAGGTTCACATGTGGATCTATCAGGAGGATGGGGTTTCTCTGGAGTCATCTGTCACCACTGTCTCCTACAATCTTTCTAAAAGACTTCTCTTCAACGTAGATCTCTGAGTCATGAGAGGAGGGTTTGACTTAGGGTTTAGTGTTACAATGTCTCTCACTCTCTGTAAATTACCATTTACCATAGAAGAAGTAGCTCTTTTTTAAAAAATAATTTATTAGATTTTTAAAAAGTACCAATCGAAGTTCCCACTCCCTCCTCTCTTCCTATTTCCTCCACACACTCCTCCACCCTACCCCCTATCCAATCCTCAGAGAGGGTAAGTAAGGCACATTTCTGTGAAAAAGGTCCAAGGCCTTCCTTACTATTTTTATGCCGAGCAAGGTATCCATCCAAAGAGAAGAGGTTCCCAGAAAGCCAGTACATAGAGTAGGGATATATCCTGGTGCCCTATAATGCTAAAATTGTAGGCTATGTCATAGGATGCCAAAGAAAAAATAAATAAATTAGTGTCAGGATGAAGTGTTCTGTAGATGTCTGTTAGAGGTATTTGATTTGTGGAAATTATTTAGCTCTAGCATTTCTCTGTTTAGTTTTTATATAGATGACCTGTCCGGCAGTAAGAGTTGGATACTGAAGTCACCTACTACCACTGTTTTAGCGACATTTATAAATTGGTTGACCTTCTGATAGGTGTATAAATGTTTAGAATTGTAAAATATTCTTGGTTGATTTTTTTCTTTTTTTAAATTACTTTATAAACTCCCCTCCTCCCACTTCCTTCCTGCTCCTCCTCTCCCTTTCCCCCTCCCCCTCCAGTCCTAAGAGAGGGCAGGATAACCTGCCCTGTGAGAAGTTCAAGGCCCTCCCCTCTTCATCCAGGCTTAGGAAGGTATGCATCCAAATAGACTAGGATCCCAAAAAGCCAGTACATGCAGTAGAGACAAACCCTAGAGCCATCATTGGCTTCTCAGTCTGCCCCACTTGTCAGCCACATTCAGAGGGTCCAGCTTGATCCCATGCTCATTCAGTCCCAGTTCAGCTGGATTTGGTTGATATTTTAGAACTGAGATTGTCCTGTCCTTTCCTATCTCTTCTGATTACTTTTGGTTTGAAGTCTATTTGTCAGATAGTATAATAGTTCCACATCTTTCCTTCTTGGTTTCATTCCCTTGGACTGCCTTTTTCCATTCTTTTACCCCGTGGGGATGTTTGTCCTGGCTGATGAAGTGTGTGTGTGTGTGTGTGTGTGTGTGTGTGTGTGTGTTTTAAATTGTTTTTAATTGAGCTATATATTTTTCTCTGCTCCCCTCTTTTCCTTTCCCTTTCCCTTCTACCCTCTCCTATGATCCCCATACTCACAATTTATTCCAGGAGATCTTGTCTTTTTCTAATTCCCATGTAGATTAGATCCATGCATGTTTCTCTTATGGTCCTCACTGTCGTCTAGGTTCTCTGGGATTGTGAATAGTCAGCTGGGTTTTATTTTTTTATGTCTAAAAGCCACTTATAAGTCGTACATACAATATTTATCTTTCTGGGTCTGGGTTACCTCACTCAATATGATGTTTTCTAGATCAATCCATTTCCCCGCAAATTGCAAGATATCATTATTGTTTTGTGCACTGTGTGGTACTCCACTGTGTAAAGAAATGTACCACCTTTTCCTTATCCATTTTTCAGTCAACGGGCATTTAGGTTGTTTCCTGGTTCTAGCTATGACAAATAATGTTGCTATGAATATAGTTGAGTACATGTGCTTGTGGTATAATTGAGCATACTTTGGATATATACCCAAAAGTGGTATTGCTGGGTCTTGAGGTAGATTGTTTCCTAATTTTCTGATGCATTTGAAAACCAGATCCTGTTTTCCATCTAACTAATTAGTCTGGGTCTTTTTATTTGGGAGGGAGATCATTAATAATGATGCTATTCTTGAACAGAGTCTATTCATTCCTGTTACTTTCTTGCTATGGTGGGGTTTCCCCCTTTTTTTGGTTAATTCTTCTGTGATTTTTTTATTCCTTGTGTAGAAATAGAGATAGCTACATGAATTTGCATGTCATCCTTGTAGAGGGACCATGAAAATCTTTCTTATCATTACAATTTTAGTAGTACGCTGCTAAACTGAGCACTTTTAGGGGGTTTTCTAAATGAACAAAGATAATTTGCTTATGGAAAGAACATGTCTACCAAACTACTTTCCAAAACAGATGATACTTCATCTGTCTCAGGTTGTATGGAGACAATATGAAGTATCTCTCAGTTTCTGTTCATTCAAAATCACATTCACAATTATATACCTTCTATTTAAATTCTTCCTGGATTCCTACTACTGTATCTTCTACCCATCACTGCAAATCACTAGTTTTCTCCAGCCAATATACTGCTTAGAGATGAAGGTATATACGCTGTTCAAACGATAGAAACATATACACAGAAAGATGAACAAAGATCCCTGCTAAATTTATTTTAAAATACACCCAAATCTACCAGTGCTTTTCAATTTGAACTCATGCATTAACATGGGGGGGTTATAAGAGGGGCTATTCCCAGAAGGAGTTAGAAACATTAGATAGTATATTTTAAAATACCCTTGATGATCTATTGAAGTATATTATCTTCAGGTTTCATTAAAATAGAAATTAAAACACATTGATAATTTCAAAGGCATGCTTTCAAAGGCCAGAAGACTGTGGTTAATACTGCATACAATTTAAAATAAATGAATATTCTGTCCTTCTTAAACACTTAAAATGTTTAAAAAAATCCTCCAGGCAAACTTTAAATTATAATTCCTGATGTACTGGCAAATGCAGGATAATAAATAGGAGAAATCTTACTTTTGGAGTTGCAGGCACAATTACTAAATCATCCCTGAAGTGACCTGGCCATAGGCAGTGTACTCTGGAACAAGGCCAGGGGCCACTAATCAAAACATGCAGCAGGGAAAGTGAGAGCCATAATCTCAACAGCTAGATCAACACACGGGAAAGCTAATAAAAACTACCTTGTTTTAAAACCACCACAGTGTTTACTTTTTCCAGTAACATAAACATTATGATAAAATTAAAGTTGTATAATAAAGAAGTTTGTTTTGATGACCTAAGGAAATATATAGCAATAACTCAACAGTATTTTTCTAATTTGACAGTAAAGAAGTTTAAATTCAGACATGCCAAACTACAAGAATTAGATATCTTTGTATGACATTCTCTATATAAATATATATGCAAATATTTCAAATAGTTTTAGTTTCAACTTCAAAAATCCATATATTATTAGCAAATTTAGGAATCAAATATAAACACAGAAGTATGTGAAACATTTGGAATTGTCATAATGCAACTCTTTCTCTGTTGTTACATAATTAATATGTGTGCATATGTAGAACAAATGTTATCAATTTTTAAAATATATCCTTTATTTTGAAACATTAAAACATGTTGATTTAATCTAACATTATACTTAAAAGAGAAGGAAAATATTTGCTGAATTAAAAGAAACATAGACAATTCTCATTTCCACAAGGAGTATAAAAAAAGGAATTTTTCTTGGTCTAAGCATTTCAAAATTACGCTTGCCTTTCAAGGAAAAGATACACATGATGTAGCCAACAGACCTGGGAAGATAGTGTTCTGAAAAGTGAAGTGCTAGGACTTTCTATCCTCAACCGTGCTAAAGTCACGTAGCTGTTACTAACCCAATCACTGAACTCACACGGCTTGCAGTTATGTTCCACTGTGTTAATATAGTGGTTTGAAACAAACAACTGAACTTTACTGAAGTTCAACTCTATTCAGTTACTTTACAAATATGTATGACAATGAAGCCTCAATGAACAGAGTTGCAATGAAAAAATACATTAAATATTCTCAATTAATATGCCTAACATAATACTTGGCACACAGGAATTGAATCAAAATTAATGTGATCATATAACTCTTTTGGAACATTCTTTTATACTGTGTGAAGATGCGTCATTGTGATTGGTTTAACAAAAAGCTAATCAGCTAATAGCTTGGCAGGAGGTATAAGTGGGTCTGCCAGACAGAGAGAGCACAGGGAGGAAGACGGGGGAGTTGCCTGCGAGGTGCAGAAGAAATAGGATGGGCAATACAGAGTAAAGGTAGCTGAGCCACTTCAATTAAAAAATATGGGTTAATTTAAGTTATAAAAACTAGTCAGGTAAAAGCCTAAGCTAAGGCTGAGCTTTCATTATTAATAAGTCTCCGTGTCATTTTTTGTGAGTTGGCCCCCACCCACCCAAATCCATCTAAACATAATAGTAGCTAAAAATATGGTCCTTGGAATAAGATGAATCTATCCTAAAACATAGAACTAGAAAATTACTTAAAGAGCCACTAGTATAACTTATTTAGCTCTGAGCTTTTTGATTGATGAAATATACACAGATAATAATGTAACACACATATGAATCATTTATCTCTCTCTATATATGGTTTATTAGTACGCAGACATGAAAACATGAAAATTATAATTTTAATAACTTTCACAACATTTACAAAAACTAAAATTTAGATGGTAATCTGGAAAGACAAGATTAATATTTAGGATATTAGGAGCACTAAAGCAGTAGGAAACAAATATTGTTTACTGAAAAGGGCTGAAGTTAAGAAGAGGTACATGACAAAATTCTGATAAGAATCTGGATAAGAAAAGAAAATGGGGTAACATACCTGAAACACGGAGAAACTGACTCAGGAAGATCAAAGCCAGCCTGGGTTACACATGGGGACACTTTCATAGTATACATATACACGAGCGTGCACACACCCACACCCACAGTCTGGTGGAGACTTTCACAGCCTGGATATCACATGGGGACAGTTTTACAGTACATACACACACACAAACACACACAGGTGTGCGTGCACACACACACATACAGCCTGGGTAAACATGAAAGAATTTTCACAGCATATACACACAGCCTGGGTAAAACATGGAGACACTGTCACAATACACACCCCCCTACACACACGCCTGTGCACAAATACACGTGCGCACACACACATACAGCCTAGGTAAAACATGCAGACACTTTCACAATACGCACACACACACACGCATGTGCACAGATACACGTGCGCACACACATACACGCACACACAGTCTGGGTAACACATGGACACTTGTACAGCACACACACACATAGACACACAGCCTGGGTAAAACGTGAACACAATTTCATAGTATACACACACACACATGTATGCACATGCGTTCACACATGCACAAACATACACACACATGCACAAGTATGTATACATATAAAGCTCTTTAATATTGAAACACAAAAGGTTTTAATAATGAGATACTATCTGTCTATTGAAATGATTTGCCTATAACCCAAGTGAGCAGATTATGAAAAGCACCGAGTAAACACTACTCATGAAGTCTAAAGAGTTAAGAGTCTTTGAAGGAATTCTGAAAATATAACACAACACTAACATGTTTATTTCCCTGATGTTGTAATAATTCTACTTTTGGGACAATACCTAAGAAAATAACCAATTTATAAAAATTATACTACATAGTATATTAAAAGAATTACAAAGTTTTCCCCCAAAATGCAAAAAACCATACATTGCAATAGAAGATTGGTGAGAGAAATAAAATATTTATAGAGTGGGATGTCAAATTTAGTTGAAACAATCTACTGAAGTGAAAATTTTACACGTCCTTCTATTTAGGAATAGGTTCTATCATACATGCCGCGAGCCTAGTTTTGCAATCCAGATACAGATGAGGAGAGCACAGAAGATGGAGAGCGGCTGCTGCAGTGTCCCTGCTGCTCACTGCCACGTGGAACAGAATGCGAGCGACTCAGCTCTCATCCTTGCTGTCTGTATTTCCTGGGTATTTTGGAATGACTGTGTATAACTTCTATAATGACAAAACAAGTAAAAATGAAGCTCATTTTGTTTTGGAGGGTGGAGTCACACGCCTTTAATCCCAGCACTCAGGAGGCAGAGGCAAATGCATCTCTATGAGTTCGAGGCCAGCCTAGTCTACAGAGAGAGTTCCAGAACAGGCAGGGTTGTTAGAAAGAAAACCTGTCTTAAAAAAGAAAAAAAAAAAGAGGCCCATTTTGCTAGAACCAGATGGATTGATATTAACTTTCTCCTGTATATTTTTCCTAACTAGACCATTAAGTTTTAAAAGCTAAGTCTAACACTGATGGATCAGTGGATGAAGAGCTTGTTACACAACTGAGCCAACCTGAGCGGAGATGCCTAGAATACATGTATATCCAGATGTGGAAGCTGTGTCTATAATCCAAGAGTGCCTGCAGAGATATGGGAGGCAGAAACAGAAGTAGTCCCCAAAGCTTGCTGACCAATTAGCCTGGCACACACTGGAAACATGGTCTGCGGTAAGACCCAAACACAGTCTTACTTCAGAGTGTAACCATTTACCGTTCATTATGCACACGGAACACTTAAATGAGGACAATTCAAAACACATAGCTCAAACTCCTTTGAGAAGCAACATCTGTAAAGTTTTAATATTTTTTTATTATTTTGGAAAGCATGTTTGAACATTTTTAGAAAACATCTACCACACAAAAAAACTAAATCATTCCCAAGAGATTCTGCTTGAAATATAGGAACCTACACATACTTTATTCGTAGCCTGTAGAAACAAATACAGTCTCTAGAAGTTTCTAAAGGATATGCAAGAGTTTGTTTATACTTTGCTTGGTGCCTTAGTGATTTGTCCTACAACTGCAGATGAGGTGATTCTGACTGTTTTCACATGTGTCCTGTCACGCAGAAGATGATCTTATTACTCCCAACAAAGGCCATCAATGTGGTAAGCAAACACCTTCCTAAGTTGTACAGAGAAAATGAGGAGATTCTACAGGCATGCTAGAGTGTTCTTTAGAAATCCATTTTCATCCTTAACATTATAAATATGTTTAAAATTTCTTCATATTATAAAATCACTGGCATTAAAAAAATTAGAGTCTATATCCCAAATGAGTACTAAAGAGAATACTATTCCTTGTGTTGTTCCTATGTCCCTCCTGTCTCCATTTTGTAGAGTGTAATAGAGAAGAAATGCTTGATAATACTGTGCTAAAGAACAATTGTAAATTCATAGTCA